GGCCGGGGGCCCCAGGCAGCAATAGACCGGGGGTTGCACACAGCAGCCGGGGACCATGAACAGTAATCAGCCGGGGGGGTTGAGGGCAGCAGAGAGCCAGCGACTGCAGCCGGCGTCTCGCCGTCAGTTCAGGCGGCCGGCCGGCTTTCTCCTCTCCCAGAGAGCCTCCGCGGCCGGTCACACACCCCCGCCACGTCACTCCGCTCTCCAGCCGTCCGGGTCCTTCCTCTCACCAAGGACCGGAGAGGCTGGTCCGTCGCTGCGACCCCCGTCTGCCTCCCATCTCCGGCTCTCAGGACTGCACTTCTCGGCCCTCCAGACTCCGGTGAGTCGGCTCCTTAGGGTCACCAGGGAGGTCGGGGAGCGGTACCTAGTCGAAGGCTAGCACCGCTCACTCCCCACAGCCGCCATGACCAGGCTCCTCCCTCAGTACTGTGTATGTCTGTGTCCTGCCTTCAAGATTATCTTAAGGACTTGAGGAAAATGAATATTATTGAATAAAGTGAAGTTGTGTTTACTTTGAAGTTCTCTTTATAGTATAACTAAAATACAAAACTTTATCCTAATTATTTTGTATACAGTATGGAAGGGTTATACACAATCAGTTTTTTTTTTTTTTTTTTTTCTGTGTGTCCAATTGAGACTATTTTCCTTCATGTCATGTCGCTGCCACAATGGAAATTGAGAACAAGTCTCTCCAAAGTAAGGGAAATCTTCCCTTACCCTCAGTTCACATCTGTGCGGGTGGTGCCGCTGCAGGACCCATACAAATGCCTGCAGCGGCACCACCCACACAGAGGAATGCGGGACCCGTGGGCGGGTGCCATTAATTCTAATAGCACACTGCCCTCAGTGGAAATCGCAACCATACTGGGAACTTCAGTTCCCGTGCGGGGTGCAATTTCCCAAGTAGTACAGGGACCTCTTCTCTGTGTGTCCCAGAGCACTGGAGTCTATTCAAATGAATGGGCTCTCGTGCCTGCAAAAATTGCGTCCCACATAATTGCACAGATGTGAACCAGGGCTTAGACAGTTGTCACTAGAGCTAGTGTTATTGAAAGGTTTCTCTGCTATTCCTGGTGCAACTCAAAATTTGGGATTTTCTATCACCTTGACTCTTGATGACAATAGTTGCCAGGACAAAGTCTCTCTTCTATCTAAATATAAAACAATGAGCTATACTTTGTATATACAATCTTTTTCACGCTTTGCCATATTCACAAAATCTCTTTGCAAAGTAAACAGCCTCTACCCCATTAGCAAATCAACATCCCCCAAGCAGTATCACAGGATGCAATGCATTCCTATTGTCACATAAGGGTGGCATTGGCAACCAACTGCAAAACAAAGTGGAGTACAAATTTGAAAGGCAGGAACACAGAGTAAGGCCAGCCATACTTGGGTCAATTTTCGAACGATTATACGTTCAAAAATCGGACCTAAGAATAATCGGCTGATTTCGCTCTGTTAGTGGGGCAAAGGCACTGGCCGATTTTCGCGGATCCTCCCTATTTTGTTTATCAGGCATGCTGGAAAATTTGTGTAAAATTACTGATTTTCGAAATCATAGTGGCACCATCAGATTACGAACGAACAATGTTTTTGATTTGCGATCAAAAAAACCGTTCGGACTTTGACCCATGTATGGCCTGCTTTAGAGGTTGGAACAGACAGCAGGCAAGTGTATTCAGGATACAGGCCAGGGTCAGGGCAGTCCGCAAGCAAAACAGCTAAAAAGGAAATTTCAGATCAGTTATCAAGGATACCAACATACCAAGGCCTTTGACCAGGCACTGACTAATGTTCTGAATTCACCTTTCCGATTGAGGCCAGGTGTGCAACTGTGTGATTACGCTGCAGCACTGGGTATCATCCTTCAGGAGGCAGGGCTGCTGACTGAATATGTGAAATTACTATTCTCCAAAGGAGACTTGGAAAGATTTTCAGTGACGAATTTGTTACAAATTTCCAGGATTCTAATTCACCTCAAACAGGCGACATTTAGGCAAATATTCAGTGGGTAATGTATGGCTCCCAATTATACTACCCTGTGCCATGAGCTGCTGTAGGAAGAGAATGAGAGACATCACTGATTACAAAGGGAGAGATAGCAAACCGTGCTTTACTTTTGTGAATTGCAATGGTGGACATTCTCATCTGCCTAGCTGTCACATACCTGGTCTGGGCTGAGCTTACGAGAGGGCTGCCCTTACACCTCTTGTCCTGTTTCCCCTGGGGATGATTATTATTATACGGGATTTATATAGTGCCAATAGTTTGATCAGCGCTTTACAATATAACGGGAGACAATACAGCAACAATACATTTCAATACAAGAGGGTTAGGAGGTCCCTGCTCCTTGGAGCTTACAATCTAGGAGGGAGGGGCTAGTGGTACAAAAGTTAGTAACTGTGGGGGGTGGACTGGTAGTAGGAGTAGAAAATTCCATTATTAGCTGAGGGCAGGATAGGCTTCCCTGAAGAGATAGGTTTTCAGAGATTGCCTAAAAGTGAGCAGAGTAGGTGATAGTCTGATAGATTGGGGTAGAAAGTTGCAGAGGATGGGGGAAGCTCTGGAGAAGTCCTGGAGATGAGCATTGGAGGAGGAGACAAGGGAGCTAGAGAGCAGGAGGTCATGTGAGGAGCAGAGAGTACAGTTTGGGTGATATTTAGAGACAAGATTGGTGATGTAATTTGGGGCAGAGTTATAAATGGCTTTATATGTTATTGTTAATGTTTTGATGCGTTGGGCAGTGGGAAGCCAGTGTAGGGATTAGCAGAGAGCGGTGGCAGATACAGAACGGTTAGTAAGGTGGATGAGTCTGGCAGCAGCATTCATGATAGACTGAAGAGGGGATAGCTGCGATGAGGTAGGCCAATGAGGAGGGAGTTACAATAGTCAAGGCGAGAGATAACAAGGGAGTGAATAAGTTGCTTAGTGGTTTCAGAGGTTAAGAACGGCCGTATCTTGGAGATGTTGCGAAGGTGAAGTCTACAAGATTTGGAGAACAATTGGATTTGTGGCTGAAAGGACAGATGGGAGTCTAGGATTACACCTAGTACCCTGACATGAGGGGAGGGACTGATGGCTGTATTATTGGTCTTGATGGAGAAGTCAGGGGAGGGGGCATGGGCTGGGGGGAATACTAAGATCTCAGTTTTTGAAAGATTGAGTTTGAGGAAGTGGAGTGACATCCATGCCAATATGTCGCTTAGTAGGTTAGTTATGCGAGAGGAGACTGAAGGGGTGAGGTGAGGAGTAGAAAGATAGATTTGTGTGTCATCAGCATAGAGATGGTACTTAAAGCCATGGGAGTTTATCAGGGAATAACAGGGCACAGAGTGGCACGGGTGCATGTAGGAGATCTGGTTCAGAATATCTTGGAAACAGATGCAGAGCTGGAGCAGACCAACTGGCAGTATTAAGATACTGGATATCAGATGCGTAGTCAGACGAGAAGAGATCAGCAACAACTGGGCAGCAGGAGTGTAAAGTCAGCAACCAGGAGCAGAGCCAGGCCAGGGTCAGCATCAAGAGAGCAGAAGATGTACTGGAACAGCAGGCGGGAAGCAAAGTCGGGTCACAAGCCAGAGTCAGCAATAGAGGTTCAGGAATAAACGAGATGAACAAGCTGGGTCAGGACAAGATGAACACAGGATCAGGTCACAAGCAGAAGGAGTTGACGACCATTCAGCAATGAACCCAAGTCCTTTAAGGCTTTAAATAGGCCACTAGGCGCCGAAGACCATTAAACAACCACACTCAGGCATATCGGCAAGTGCACAATGCAGGCACGCAGGGTCCTAATGCTGTGCATAGTTCTATAGACTGTTCTGCATGCATGCGCATTTCCTTTGAGCATGGGCATTCTTTTGAGCACGAACTTGAGCATGACTTTCCTGACACTGCCTTCCCATAATATGTGTTTGGCAGTAGCTTGCCCAGCAGACTCCCAAGGGGCCCAAACTGTTCAGCAAAATAAGTTTTGGCAGATTCGTTCATTACTAGTGACACATCAAGAAGTGAAATTAAATCTTGAAGGCAAAATCCACCGTTGACAACTGTCAAGACAGTCATTCCATTAAGAGATTTCCATTTTTATTCTGTCCCAATGACAGCTGATGGGATGTACCTTTGCCATTGACAACCATTACTGGGACAGGAAGTGAGGATAGATTTTCTCAATATGTACACAGCAGACAAAACCTGACAGAGGCCCTTTACCATCACCTAGTGGTTGTATGATTATGTTCAAAATTTTACAAGGTGCATATTTTAGTAAAATGTGATACAGACACTATCAGGGGCATATTTATAAAGTGGTAAAGGTGAATGTGAATGTCAGAGTAACTGCTTTATAAATATGCCCCTAAAGTTTTTTTGATTGACCTTTATAGAAGACATAAATTTGTTTGAGTACCTAAAAGCGTTTGAGGGGAAAATTATGATCATTTTGGCAAGCCTTCTGAATCATGACTAAGCAGAGTAAAAGGCACTGTGGGAATTGGAGGCCTCTGATGTGGTAAAACTGAAATGATGTTTTCTTATGGACTTGAAGAGATGTGTAATGGTATAGTGAACACATTTCACTGTCTGTTCTACATGTCCTGAATTAAACTTGCTGTATGACAGGAAGATCTACATGACATCTGGATGTACTATATAATGCATGCCATATGCACACCCTAGTAAGTGCATGTACTGTATGCTAATACAAGTGATGTTTTCAACACTCACTGCTGAAAGACAGATACATAGAAGATATTTAGGCCCTGATTCATTAAGCTTCAACATTTTAAACACATTAATATAGGTTTACACATGACATTATTACATGTATTTATATTGACTAAAAGGCTACTTTAGGAAGCCTTAATGTGTTACTAAACCCACAACAGTAAAATCAGTCTGTATATGCAGTAAATCAAGCTTTTTGTACTCACTGTGGAACCTAAGGGGTTAATCCTTCGCATTATGTAAAAAGGCTGTTTGAACCTGTCCTCTCTGATTCTCCTCTTCTTCCAGTGTCCCCTTCTTATCTCCTGATAAGACATATCGTGTGGAGACCAGGGGCGGACTGACCATTTGGAAATTTGAACACTGCCCGAGGGCCTGGGGTCAGTAGGGGGCCCCATGAGATGCCCCTGGTACCTTTTTCATAGGCTTTTTTGAGTCTGGGCAAGGACACAGGGGCCCCATGATCCCCTATTGCCCGGGGATGACATGAGTTGTCAGTCCGCCTCTGGTGGAGACACTCTGAACATGCTCAGTTTGGTGTGTATTGCTAGAGAGTTTTTTTTTCCTTGGAAGAGTGCATGTGAGCAGCACAGGGCCTATCAGTGCTGTCCATACAGAGGGTCGAGGGTCCTGCAGCTTCATAGGACAATCAAGGGAGAATTAAAACTCCTCCTACAAGCTTTAACCAGTGCTCGGCAGGACACTGATAGAAGTCACAAGACTGCTATATACTGCTGATGAGAAAATGTATATAGCAGTTTATATTTACTAAAATAATTGCATTTACATATTTTGTGTACTGTGGGAGACCAGATATAGTGAATGTAGGGTCCTATGTTTGGTAACACTTTAAAGTGAATTTAGGGAAATATAGAGGCTTTTATTGCTGTCCTCTTTCTAAAAATTCAGGTTAGCAGTCTGTTATACTGAACCACTAGGGTAAGGCCACCCATGACCCACATTTTAGTTTTACAAAGTTGTATAGTAAAACCACCTAACAGAGGGGTCCACTGCTGGATATTTAAATTCTTTTACAACGTGCAGAATTCAACAGTTGGAGCTGGCACACACACAGGTGGGCTCACAGTACCTCAATCTGCACATTGTTTCAGAAAAAAACAATTTAAAATACTCAGCCTTTGGTATAATGCTCATGCCTTTTTACATACTCTAAACCCTACCATTCCAATTGATGCTTGCACTAAATTAAACAAATAGAAAATGTCTTCCATAATATTGGAACCTGTCCTAAGATGCAACCCCTTTGGCATATAGTTGAGTCTCTCCTAAATGTATTAGTGCAGTGGCGAGTACCTCTTGAACCAGCAACCTATCTTCTGGGACTTATAGTGTGTTTACTTGTGAGCCACCAGGGTATACTAACAGAGGAACATATATATTTTTCTAGATCGCTGGTTATTTTGCACACTCTCTACAGGTATGCATTTGATATCAATTAATTCAATAATTACCGCGCTCTAATACTAATTAAAAAAGTGACCAGTGCTTGAAAAATAATATAAATAAATCAACAATTAATGATACCTTTAAAAAATTGTAAATCCTCCAATATATGTGCCAATTAATAAATCAAATAATAATTTATGATAAAAATAATATATAAAGTCCAAAAAAAATCCAAAAGGTATAAATGAAAAGTCCCAAGTGCAAAAAGAAAGTGCTATAGTGTTCAAGTCAAATCAAATCAAATCATACTCTCCTTCCAGCATATGGTTTGCTTCAATCCTGCAGCTTTACAATTAGCCTGTGTGTCTGTGAGGGATGATCCCTCCTTTGATCCACTCTCTCCTTCTAATATGTGCTTCAATCCTGCAGCCTTGCAAGTAGCTTGTATGCCTGTGAGGGTTGATCCCTCCTTTGATCCACTCCTTGTTGTAACAGCCAAATGCATGCAAAGAGAAAAGAATATATGGTGCCTTATCCCAGAGACAAATTCAGATTTTAATTCACTTTCACATTACACTCACATGTTAAAAACATCAATAACGCTTTTTGTATAGCAAACAACCGCTGCCTGTGGTGAAGGTCTGGCCAGAGGGTGTGTACCCCACGCCGTCAGTACTCGCCGTATCAGATGTGCGGTGATGTCACTGCCCCTCCCCACTATCTTCTGGGACTGCCTCCTCCCATTTTGTCTAAGAACTTCAGATATGCAATGTCCCAGATATTACCTGCGGCAAGATGCTTAATTCCATCTTACTGAAAAGAGATCTGGAGGGCTGTAGTTGAGAATCAATGCTTCGGGCTGTTACCTAATGCCTTTATCCATTGGATTGCACCCAAAACATTTTTTTTTTGTTTTGGCTAGCATTGGGGAAAATTACAAACTCTGTCAGAATTTTATTGCTTTCTCCATTGGGAAGGTATTCTGACACTTCCTGTTTCAGTGATAACCAGGGTATTACTACGAGTTGAACTTCCTGTTTCCTTTCTCCTGGGCATATTGTACGTATTCAAAGAACAGAGGTATACCGCTCAGGCAAACAATCCAGATCAATCCACAACAGGTGCAGGCTCTGGCTCGCCACCACACACGATGCAACAGGAAGAAGGGTCAGCCACACACCAGAGGATAGATGAATACAGTGTTTATCTATTGATCCATAGGACACATAAAACACCAGGACATGAATACAGGACCTTTTAACGCATTTCACACGATCTCGCGCTTAATCAACTTGAGATCGTGTGAAACGCGTTAACAGGTCCTGTATTCATGTCCTGGTGTTTTGTGTGTCCTATGGATCAATAAATATACACTATATTCACCAATCCTCCGGTGTGTGGCTGACCCTTCTTCCTGTTGCATATTGTATGTATGGTGCTCTAAAGAATCAAAATTAGATTAGTAGTGATATTAAATATCACCAGCCCTAAGTGGATTCCTGAAAAGAAAATATAAAGGATGCATACCATAGGGGAAATGATATCTGAGATAAACTGCAAAAAAGAAAAAAAAACCAGAGGAACATAAAATAAAGTTTTAGCAGAAATTGCTATCCCCCCCCCCCCCCCAAAAAAAAAAAAACCCAAAAAACCCAACATGATAGCAGTGAATTTCCTGGAAAAATCAAGACATTAAAAATTAAAGGTGTTCTGTTTGACACCTATCAGGAAAATTTCAAGAAATCCATTTCTATCAGAGGCTTTAAACCCTCCTTCTTAGATAGTACTATTTTTTTATGGCTGTTTGCAAGATTTTACCTTCCTATTATACAGCAATAATTATCTGATAAGATACTAACACTTCCTCACTGTATACAAAACAAAAAAAATGGCTTATGGTAGGCTTAAAAGGATGTTTACACTTTTTTAAAAATAGTTTTCCTTTTTTATTACCCCTTTCCCTTTTTCCCAATACCTTCCCAAAGCCTTATACTCATCTCTTCACACTTCTGCCATTTTCATGCTGTGCAGCCCACAGGAAGCCCCATAGCTGCAGCTGCAAGCTACCTGGGTGGTCCCTCACTTCTGTGCTTGCATGGAAAAATCACATTTGTTCCGATAGACAAGCTGCTTATCATTTCAAGGTGAATTTAATTTTTTTTCCATGTGTAGGAGACTGGTAGAGAGTTCAGCAGCAGGTGCGAGGCTTCTTGTGAGATGCATAATCTGAATCTGGAAGAAATGTGGACAGCATAAAATGGGTAGAAGACTTTGGGGGTGCTGAGGAGGGCCTAAAGGACATCAAAGCATAGTTATCTTAAATGCAAAGCAGCACAGTGCTAACTTATTTTTTGCTGTGCTAACAATAAAATAATGCAAGAATTTCCTCTGCAAGAGGCACCAAATATATATTGGCATTAGGCTCAGTTCACAAAATTAGCATGGCAAGTTAAGAATCTTTATTTATAAAAAGTAACAGTTATTTTCAGCCAGTGAGAATTGAAAATTACAGTCACACGGTGAAAATAAGGATCCTTATGCACGTGTGGTCAGATTGTTAAACAATTTTTAAAAAATCAGTAGCATCGTTATCCACCTGCCCTCCATAGGAATTACCCCCCTTCCTGACCAGGCCATTTTTGCATTATGGCGCTGCGTTACTTTAACTGACAATTGCGCAGTCATGCAATGCTGCACCCAATAAGGGCAGTAATCCTAGAACTAGACCTCCTCTGTAAATCTAAAATGGTAGCTTGTAAAGGCTTTTAAAGCGTTGCCTATGGATATTAAAAATGTATGCAGTTTGTTGCCATTGCACGGGGCATGAGCAGTTTTAAAGCATGTCATGTTTGGTATCTATTTACTCAACAAAGCATTATTTTTTATATTTTACCAAATAATAAAAAAAAGTGTATTTTTTTTTTTAAAGTTGCGTTTGAAAAGTTGCTGCGCAAGTACTATGTGACATAAAAAATTGCAGCACCCACCATTTTATTCACTAGGGCGTCTGTTTTAAAAAAAAATATATAATGTTTGGGGGTTTAAATTAATTTCCTAGCAAAAAATACAGATTTTTTTCATGTGAACAAAAGGTGTCAGAAAAGGCTTGGTCTTCAGGTGGTTAGAAGAATGAGTGATGCGTGGCATAAACTTCTAATGCTGGGCATAGAATGCCCCCACCCCCAAAACGACCCCTTTTTGGAAAGTAGACACCCCAAACTATTTGCTGAGAGGCATGTTGAGTCAATAGAAGAATTTATTTTTTTACCACAAGTTTTTGGAAAATGACAAAAAAATTATTATTATAATTTTTTTTACACCAAATTGTCACTTAAATGATTTATTGCTTACACATGCCATGGGTATATGTGGAATTACTCCCCATAATAAATTCTGATACTTCTCCCGAGTATGGGGGTACCACACGTGAGATACTTTTTGGCAGTCTAGCCAAGTACAGGACCCCAAAATCCAAAAGGCACCTTCAGGCTTTTAAAGGGCTTTATTTCCTCAGTACACTTCCTGACTATCTATCACAGTTTTTTCTTTTGTTATATTTCAAAACCTTGTGAGAAAAAATTAGATCTGCAAAATACTCACCATGCCTCATTTTAATTTCCTAGGGGTGTCTAATTTCCAAAAAGGGGTGGGAATTTGGTGCTATTGTGACATTTCAGGGCCTCCGAAACTGTGATAGGTAGTGAGGAAGTGAAATGAGGAAGTCACGCACCTTCAGACCTTCAAAGTGGTCATTGGATTTAAGGCTCCTGTATGTGGCTAGGCTCCCAAAAAGTCTCACACACTGGTATCCCCATACTCGGCAGAAGTAGCAGAATGTATTTTGTGGTGTAATTCCACATATGCCCATGACTTGTGTGAGCAATATATTTAAGTGACAACTTTGTGTAAAAAAAAAAAAAAAAAAAAACATGTTTTTGTCATTTTCCAAAAACTTGTGGAAAAAAAATAAATCTTCCATGGACTCAATATGCCTCTCACCAGATAGCTTAGGGGGTCTACTTTCCGAAAAGGGGTGTTTGTACTGTCCTGGTATTTTAGCACCTAAAGAAATGTGATAGGCAATCTGAAAGTAAAA